TTAAAACCTTTAATAAACATTAAATGAACAGAACAAGACCTTGACCGGATTACTTTAATTAAATGGACACTAAATTATGTAATTAGTTTAATAAATGAAAATACCTAAGATTACGTAGTTTTCTTATAAAAATCAAGATTTGAATCAAGTCGCCTTCTAAAGTAAGTAAGTACAGAAGTATGACTTCACAACTTAGCGTTGATGAGATCGAGAAAATAAGACGACAGTTCACCATAATAAGGTAAAAATAGACAAAAATAGTGGTCAGCATCATATTACAATAACTCAAGAGGCCTGTTCAACGAGCGCGAGCGCTCGCGAACAATTCTGTTGGAGGTATAAGGAATTTGGTGAGCACTCGCGAACGTTCGCTCTGTTGAACAGGCCTCAGGTAAAAATTAGTTAAATAATGAAAACCCAGGCAGCAGAATCACCAGTGACGAGATCAGTACTAAAGCGGTCAGTGAGACAAAGGAAATACATGGTTAAAGTACACAGAAGTTCGCGAGCGGTAAAATGACGATTTCACATAGATGCGTTGATACTGAACAGAATAGAATTACTGGTAATTATAAACAGTTGTAGTTTAACATAGAGCATTTTTTACCGTATTTACGAAGGAATATAGAGAATGAAATTTGTAAACAAATGATCGAAATTGGGGGATGTTGTAAAAACACGAACGGTAATACTGCAAATTATGTAAACTAAATCTGAGTTAAAATAAATTTCCATCCAAAATGAATTAATTATAAACAATATAAAAATTACCACATGAAGGTCTCACATATTACAATTATAATTAGTTGCTTGCGGGAAATTCATTATCCTTGCTTGACACGCATCCGTTGGTCTTTGTTGCTGCATTTAGCTACCAAACTGTATGCTGATGGCATTAGCTATAAATCCATTACTATCTTGAAACATTAATTCGTATTTCAAGGTCTCATAAGACAAACCGGGCTGTAAGATGATTAATATCTTTCTAAAAGACACTGATGTCGCGCACGCTATTGTCAAAAAGTCTTAATTACCACTGCGGTAGCATTTATGCTATTTATATATTTTGGAAACAGTTAATTATATGAAATCGTCGCACACGTAGTAGACAAATGTTGATATCTTCCTTAAATTATATGTTACAGAAAAAACCTTTAAAAAAATAGGTAAAAAAGTAAGTTACTTCATTTGTGATGTCATTCAATCCATATGCTGTGGACGTGTAGTTCAAAATGCAAGATAGAAATGTAGATATACGTTCACCGAGAAAAATAGAGCATGACCAAGATATGTCATTGGGTATTTGGAAAAATACTACATATGTTAAATCAGATTTTGAAATTAGATCTCGATAATCCTTTCAATTTTAAACTACTATATTTTAAAATAGAATGATATTGTTTGATACAATGTAGGTGCCTGATATTTTGTTGATTCATTGGGATGATGTTAAGTTTAGAGGTTCAATGTCACAAAGTTTTAAACTTAATTTAAACAAATCAGTAGAATAGCTCATTCTGTAATACTAAGTGGACATTAATTTTTTTTTAAACTTTTGATATTATTAAGTAAAAACACATCTATTATAGTAAATTCTAACTTTAGATGTCGTTTATGTTCAGAATAATTGTGGTATCACATATGTAGCTATTTGTCACAAATTCGATGCAAGAAAGTCACAGTTAAATACGACATTCAATAAATTGATATCAATTCAATTGTGCAAAATCGAAACTTTATTGAGACAAGAAAAATTATTCTTGAAGGAGGTGTCTGGTTTAGAAACAAGCTATGGTGTCAAAATTGTAAGTCATATATTGTCCAAAACATATAAAACATTATTATGGTATAATTTTGGTAGGACTAATCATCTGTGTTGTCATTAAATATGAATATATTAAAATTTTAAGGATTTTTATCAGATTTGTGTCTCTTCAAAACATTTGAAGCATAGCAAGCAAATTCAAATAATTGTGGTCCCCCGCTTTCGGTGTCTTAGTGGTTGGGATGTAGTTATTTATGACATATTGTAACTGTCTTGTTTGTGTGTCCTTCAAACTTTTAGGTGAAAGTCATGAAATCAAAAATGATATAGCTTTCTGAAAATTGTTCTTATAGGTACATATGTAATGTGCATGGACTGTATGTCAAATATGAAAGCCCTATCGTCTTTCAATCAAAAGTTATTATCAATGTAAAAAAAAAATGAAAAAGATTGTAGGTTAAACTTTCAAGCAAATTCACGAGGTCAAAAACCAGAGTACGTTAAGAAAGGTCTTGAAACAGGTAATGAACATGTCAAATATAAATGTCCTATCTTTTCTCATTCACAAGTTATCACTAACATTCTTTTTTTGAAAATTAGGTCGAACTTCAAGGTCAAGGTCACGGGGTCAAAAATATTAGTACATTTGGAAAGGCCTTGTCACCGGTAATATAAATGTGAAATATGAAAGCCCTATCTTTTTCCCATTCAGAAGTTATAACTAAGTTAATGTTTTTGTGACAGACTCACAGACTGACAGATGAATGCGATTTAATGTCCCATCGCTTTCGCGAAAGGGGGCACAATTAAAAATTATATCAATGGAATGGAGAAAAAAAACAACAGAGAATAAATTTCAACATGTTTTGTCATAGACTTAAAAGTAAGGCGTTTTAACATTATTGCGTGCAATCATCTAAATATCATATAAAAATATCACAAGATTTTACGCCTGAATTTACTATTATTGCTGAAATGCAAGTAACAAAAATTTACCAAATTTAATAAATTTTAGAGTAAATCAAAGTAGTGTGTAATTTTTTTTATATTGAACCAATAAACATGCGTACACTGCACCAGTATATTATTCTTGTCAGAATCTGTCAAAAACTACTCATGTACAGTTCGAGTTTTATGAGGAAAAAAATACACATAAATTAATATGATGATTTTACACTTGATTGTCCTGATATTAGAATGTGCCATAAGCTTTTTGAGGCGTGTACTGCATACTACATCAGGGGCATATTTTTCTTTAACATTTGTGAGATTCTTAAAAAAAGGATATGGATATATATATATATATTTTTTTTTTTTTGTGTACGAATAAAATACTGTTTTAATGTCTACGGAATGAATTAATTTTCTTATGAATAGATTCACATTTTGGCCGTTATATTTTATGGAAGCCGGTTGGTGCCAGATATAAAAAATATTTTATCTGGCGGCCGCCACATAAATATCTGGCTGCCGCCATATAAATAACTGGCGGTCGCCAGAAACTTATCTGGCGGCCGCCAGATAAAAAGATCTGGCGGCCGCCATATAATTTCTGGCGGCCGCCAGATAAATATTTGGCGGCCGCCATAAAATTTTCTGGCGGCCACAAGAGAAATAGATCTGACGGCCGCAATAATTTTCTGGAGGGCGTCAGATAATTTTCTGGCGGCCGCCAGATAAGTTATCTGGCGGCCGCCAGAACTTTTTATCCGGTGGCCGCCAGAAAATTATTTGGCGGCCACCAGTTATTTATGTGGCGGCCGCCAGATAAATATTTGGCGGCCGGCAGATAAAATATTTTTCTTCCTGGCACCTACCGGCTTCCGTAATATTTAACATTGGGTAGGTGAATTATACCAGGAAGGATGGGGAGGGTGGAGGTTGGGGGAGACTCGCACCTGATTTGACTTGAAATTCAGATTTTCTCTATTGTATTGATTAATATTTCATTTTGTCATCAACCTTTTAGCACAGTTTGAAATAAAACCATATTCGCATTCGTATTATGTCACCATAACTGAAGTCTAGTCGTGCATAGAACATTTCGTTGTCATGGAAATGGAGGAAGATGTCTTTAGGATGACATATCTTCTCCCTTCAAGAGCAAAAGATTTTAGCTTTTTTCTACTTAGGTTTAATTTTTTTTTTTTATCAAAAATGTAATTTTAAAAGAAGTCACGTTAAAAAGTCTGACGTCACGTAATTTAACGTCAGACTGACATTATCGAAATTGGCACCAAAAGCGTACTCAACATCATTTTATTTTTTTATACCTGAGAAACATATGGATAAGATTCATTAAGTGTAATAATTTACATTAGAGTCCTCACTTACTTCTCAAATTCGTGTCACTTGAGACCAGCTCTAGAGTGAAGCTAGACTTATTTCAGCAATTTATTGAAAGATGGTTCATTCTATCCATACATGTCCAAGAACAAATTCGATGTCGATATCGACCGTATCATGTCGATTTCGACGATATCGACAATATCATGTTGATATCGTATCGATATCGATCCTGATCAGTACAATGAAATTGAAAATAGTGAATACTGTGTTGACAGCTAAGAAAAAATAAGTATTCTAATCTGCATTCACGTAATAGGAAATATTGTGGGGAAAAATACAAGTAGTTCGAGATCGAAACAGTATCGTGGATATCGAATATCGACACTTAAGTAAAACTTTTCATAGTGATAGTATTCAAATAACTCACATGTTTGTAAAAAAAAAAAAAAAAAAAAAAAAAAAAAAAAAAAAAAAAACAGTATTAAGGGCGGTAACAATGATCGATTGGATAGTCTCCATTCGATATCGATACAATATCGGGGATATTGACAGTAAGGAAATCTTTCTAAACCGATATTATTCTAATATACATGCAAGTATCAAGAAATATTGTAGCAAACGATAAAAAAGTAAATTGTCTATATAGTATCTACGTCGTGTCTTGGACAAAATTCATTTCCATAGAAAATAAAGAGCAAGTAAATTAAGAAAAATAGGCGTTCATTCCTCCTTCCATATCATCAATAGTATTCCGAAAGTATTCCTTCGTTGAAGAGCAATGAAAGTTTTCAAGTACAAAAGCACAGGTATTAACAATTCAGAGAATGTTCATAGTGAATTATTTCCCAAGAAATAAATTGCTTAACCATACATAGTAAACAATTTTCTTCAACATAATTTCATTAAAAAAATTGAAAATATAATGATTTTTTTAAGGACGACTTACCATATCTGCAACGTTACTACTTAAATGGATTGAATACAATACAGTCGTGCTTTAAATACACATTTTTAATGGATTTTCCATTTCCACCGAGTTTAAAAAAAATGAAGTTTTTTGTCAAAATTGTAAGTGTCGCATGATATAGAGGTTACTTTTAGGATGTTTAATATGCACATCAGTTATGTAATATTCTGCGCTAGTGAAAGGAAAATACATTAGTTGCGGTTGCTAACAACATATCATAAGCTCTTATTAATTAACTAAAAATATTAAAGTTTTTTAGGTCCGTGTTTGCTCTGCTCCTATTTTGTATTGTTTAATGGACTTCTGAGCTTGAATACTGTTCGTTATCTCCATATATTTCATTATTCTTTTTTTTTTAAATATAACAATTTCATCGAAGACACAGTAGACATTCCCCTGGCTTAAGATCATCACTCATACTTTCATCATAATGATATTTTAGTCAATAAAAACAGATAGATGGATTTACAGAATTGGTACTTGTCCCCCAACCAGCTTTGTTATGAGGGAGACAGGTGGATAGACGGACACGGTATTTATCCTCCAGCTTTGTTATGAGGGAGACAGGTGGATAGACGGACACGGTATTTATCCTCCAGGTTTGTTGTGAGACAGATGAATGGACAGTTTAAGTTTATGATCCTTTGTTGTGAGGGGGACATATGTATGGCCACGGGATCATGAAACATCTTTAGCTTATATCAAAATCCGTACTTCATAATAAAATGTTGTAGAAAACAAGCAGATCAAACTTAAAAAATGTTTCAATATTGCTTCACAGAAGAGGTGTTACAGTTCCTGAAACGTTCTACTTTCCCCTTGAACGGTGAGCGAACGCTAAACGAACGCAGAACGAACGATCATTGAACGATGTGTGAACGCTGAACACAACTTGGTGAACGGTTGGTGAACGATGAACGGTGAGCGAACGCAGAACGCGATCGGAGCGCAAACGCGAGCGCAAAGTGAACGGTGAACGAACGGAGAACTCAAGATAAACGATTTATTCGGAATGCCTCTGATCTTTTCCTTGCATTGAAACTATTCTATTGTATTCTAATGTCAGGTCCCCCCCCCCCAAAAAAAAAATAAACAAATAAATAAATAAATAAATAAAATAAATGTTCCAAAATTATGCCAAGAAAGACGATACATGCACATTAATTGAAAATATTTATTTAAAATTTCCTACAATATTTTCTGCACATATGTGTGATATTTAAATTCAACCTTTAAATCACACGATTTTTATCGCTGTAAAACATTGTACATTTTGTAATTATCACTGCATATAGGCAGCTAACCACACAATCAAACTGTGTTTCAAGTTTCAAGTGTACTGAAGAACGTGGTGTAAGGCTGAAATATATACAAAATGAACTTGTACATAAACACATAACAGTCATAGAGTATTCAAACATGCAACAAATATACTGACTAGATAATCAATTAATTGCCATTTATCTGATTTACATACAATTTGAAAGTTATAAGAATACACAGTAATGATATATTACAATATCTCATAGAGCAAACTATGCAAATATCTCAATGCAAAATCATACACTGTAAATTTGGCGGTATCTGCTATTTTTAGAAACGACAAGAAAATACACAAAACGTATGACACCTATGCAAACATTTAAGCAAAATCAAATACTATAATCATGTAAACATTTACAAACATAAAAGCTTACAATGTGCTGTCGGCCGGATGGACAATATTGAAGTTATAGCTGCAAACATGTGCTGCATCCTGCACCAGCATGGAGAACTTAAATGCATTAAACAAAACAAAAAACTGTAAACCAGGAAATATCCGGTCGCACTTAAAAAATGGGTTGTACACAAACTAATTCGTGAACACTACACTCCCCGTCTTATATCATAGATATAACCAATCACTAACTAACATTGACAAAAATCTCAAACTGTTACTGCATAACTACAATAAACTTATTCACAAAGATACAGTTCAAGCAGGAGAACCATCTCGGTTATGGGTCGGTAGTAAACCTTCCTGTCCTTTGCGACACGTACAACAGCTTTCCGAACCATTGCATCATTGCTCTCAATCGGGCGCTCGACTATCCCCATCGGCCACAGGTTCCTATGGACATTTTTCTCACGTGTGAGTACAACATCTCCGGTCTTCAGATTCTCTTTATTTGAGTGCCACTTCTGTCTCTTTTGTAAACTGTCCAAGTAGGTAACGTGCCACTTCTTCCAAAACATATCAGACAGCACCTGAACATGTTTCCAGCTGGCTGTGTACATGTCCTTGATACCCAAATGTTCCGAGAATGATCTGATTTCCCCGTTTCTGGTCAACAGTACGTTTGTGCTCAGTACCATGGGTGATGACGGGTCCATATCAAGCATTATCGGACGAGAGTTCAGTATGGCACAAACCTCTGCCATGAACATGACTAGTACTTCGTGTGTCAGTTCTTTGCCCCTGTCTTGAAGCAGTTTAGAGTTCAAGATCCTGCGAGCACTACCAATAACTCTTTCCCACACACCTCCAATATGGGATGCATGAGGGGCATTAAACAGCCAGGTTGCTCTGTTCTCCTTCAGGTAAGTCTTCATCATATTCTCTTCAACGTTGATGGCATTCCCATCAAGGTCCTCCACAGCTCCAATAAAATTTGTTCCCCTGTCAGAGCGAAAAAGTTTTACTGGTCCACGCAAGGCTATAAAGCGTCTCAGGGCATTAATGAAGCACGAACAAGACATGTCCTCAATCACTTCAATGTGGACTGCTCGTGTAGTTAAGCAAGTAAAGAAGACGGCACATCTTTTACTATGAGCTGATCCACCACACGTCTCTCTGATAACTACAGGCCATGGACCAAATACATCAAGTCCTACAGAGAAAAAATGGGGGTCCTGAGGTGGGCCGATCAACAGGGAGATCTGCCATCTTCTGTTTCTGGGGCATCCTACGTAGCTTCCAACACACAACGCAACCATGAATGATGGAGGATTTGAGTTTCTTTGCTCCCAGGATCCATTAGCCATGAGAACATATGGCGCCTTCAGTAATCGTTCTGACCTGGTGGAAAACCTTGTTATGAATGAAACGTAACAGTAGTACTGCCACATGTCCGTTGGGAACTATAACTGGTTTAAGTGACGAGAGTCCTGTGCTCTTCAGCTTGTTAAAACGACTTCCAACTCTGAGCAGACCTTTATCATCAATAAAGGGAGATAAATCCTGAATACGACTGTTCCTAGGTAGGTCCTATTTTCTCTCAATTGCTTCGAGTTCAGCACCAAAGGCCTGAGCTTACAAATATACTGACTAGATAATCAATTAATTGCCATTTATCTGATTTACATACATTTTGAAAGTTATGAGAATACATAGTAATGATATCTTACAATATCTCATAGAGCAAACTATGCAAATATATCAATGCAAAATCATACACTGTAAATTTGGCGGTATCTGCTATTCTTAGAAACGACAAGAAAATAACAAAACGTATGACACCTATGCAAACATTTAAGCAAAATCAAATACTATAATCATGTAAACATTTACAAACATAAAAGCTTACAATGTGCTGTCGGCCGGATGGACAATATTGAAGTTATAGCTGCAAACATGTGCTGCATCCCGCACCAGCATGGAGAACTTAAATGCATTAAACAAAACAAAAAAACAGTAGACCACGAAATATCCGGTCGCACTTAAAAAATGGGTTGTACACAAACTAATTCGTGAACACTACACTCCCCGTCTTATATCATAGATATAACCAGTCACTAACTAACATTGATAAAAATCTCAAACTGTTACTGCATAACAACAACAAACTTATTCAAAAAGTTACAGTTCAAGCAGGAGAACCATCTCGGTAACGGGTCGGGTGTAAACCTTCCTGTAATTGGCGACACGTACAACAGCTTTCCGAACCATTGCATCATTGCTCTCAATCGGGCTCTCGACTATCCCCATCGGCCACAGGTTCCTATTCTTACGTAAGAGTACAACATCTCCGGTCTTCAGATTCTCTTTATTTGAGTGCCACTTCTGTCTCTTTTGTAAACTGTCCAAGCAGGTAACGTGCCACTTCTTCCAAAACATACCAGACAGCACCTGAACATGTTTCCAGCTGGTTGTGTACATGTCCTTGATATCGAAATGTTCCGAGAATGATCTGATTTACCCGTTTCTGGTCAACAGTACGTTTGTGCTCAGTACCATGGGTGATGACGGGTCCATATCATGCACTATCGGACGAGAGTTCAGTATGGCACAAACCTCTGCCATGAACATGACTAGTACTTCGTGTGTCAGTTCTTTGCCCCTGTCTTAGAGTTCAAGATCCTGCGAGCACTACCAATAACTCTTTCCCACACACCTCCCATATGGGATGCATGAGGGGCATTAAGCAAACAGGTTGCTCTGTTCTCCTTCAGGTAAGTCTTCATCATATTCTCTTCAACGTTGATGGCATTCCCATCAAGGTCCTCCACAGCTCCAATAAAATTTGTTCCCCTGTCAGAGCGAAAAAGTTTTACTGGTCCACGCAAGGCTATAAAGCGTCTCAGGGCATTAATGAAGCACGAGCTAGACATGTCCTCAATCACTTCAATGTGGACTGCTCGTGTACAGTCCCTGAAACGGTTCTACTTTCCCATTTTTCCTTTCGCTCACCGTTCGTTCAGCGTGCGTTCACCGTTCGCTCTCCGTTCACAGTTTTGCGTTCTGCATTCACCGTGCGCTTACATTCACCGTTCACAAAGCGTTCACCGTTCGCTCTCTGTTCGTTCACTTTGCGTTCACCTTGCGTTCAGCGTTCACTTATCGTTCAGCCTTCAATGTCATTCAGAACTCTCAAGTGAAAGGACTTATCTTGTTTGTACATGTAAGGATTTACAGGATTTAAAATTTAATAATTAACATATCGTGTTTAAAGGATCATTATTTCATGGGAAAAACATTATCTACAATATGTTTTATTATTAGTCTAACTTAGCTGTTAGGCTATTTATTAAATTAATCAGGAAAATAAATGCTGTTTTAAGTATGTACCTATGTAGAACTATGCTGATAAATTAAATTTAAATACGGGCAATATACGGGTACTTCAAGCACTGCAACATTTTGTTGTTATGTTAAAGACGACAAATCGTTAATGCAGAGATAATAATCCTTGTCAATTAATTTACCAACTGCAGCAAAATTACGAAAGTATTTATTACTAACACGTTTTTATTGTTTTTTTCAATTACTATAGAAATACATTATTAAAACTAGTTCTGACTGAGAATTATAAATAGTACTGCGGATATCCAGTCAATTAAATATTTTTGGAATGAATTAAATTGATAGTGTGGTTAAAATATATTTATTTAAATGTAATACACTACAATTCATAAATAAAGTCTAATGTTAGAGAGAAAAAAATCCTTTATTTACAATAACTTTATATTCATTCGATATGATTAAGAACCCCCTCCCCCTTTTCCACCTAAATCGGTTACTTACTAGTCAGCTTTTTCAGTATATTTTAATTAATATTTAAAAAGAAGTTAATGTGTTTTGTAGCACAAAAATTTCAGTCTCAAAACAAACATGCATACAGGTATAAAAAAGTCATTAAACAATAGTAGTTCAAAATATACACGTGCCGGCTGTGGAATTTTAAATTGGCCAGGGAGTATGTTTCAAATTTATGTTTATGCCCAATGTATTTGATTTATTTATTTATGTTTTGGAAAAGTTGGAATCAGATCTAGAAATAAAACAAAATGCTAAAACTTCTTGGAAATACTACAGTGTAGCACTTCGCCTTTGGTTTGACAAGACTTTCACACCTGCACAGTGTCGAATGATTTTGATTGACAGGTCAAACACGTGGACTTCGTGTGAACTTTAAGCAGGAAAATAAAAAAACGATTATGACTGTCAAACAAAACGAATTTGTTGATAAAAAAAGGGGCTAAAACGGATAAAACGGAATCTCTCTCTCTCCCTCTCTCTCTCTCTCTCTCTCTCTCTCTCTCTCTCTCTCTCTCTCTCTCTCTCTCATTTGTCCGTTTAATCAAAACTATGACACGTATTACTTAAATATCAAGTTCTGAAATTTTAATCTATAACAAATAATATGAAAGCTTCTTTGTATCATCTTGTCCGAGTATAATCAGGGGAAATTGTCTACAGATACGTGTAGAAGTTTGCTTAATAAATCATCATAAAAAGTGAAAAGACACAAAAATAAATTATTGCATTAAATTTTTAAAATACTAGTGTATACATGCAATATGTTCACAGACCGTAGCAAAATATTTTAATTTTTTTTTCATTATTTTACACGGAATTGCCTTGACACAGAAAAATTTGTATCATTGTTACAACCGTTGTAATTCATTCTATAAGTCAGTAATGTCCTCTTCGAAAATCATTATTTGTAATGGTTTTATATATCAAAAAAGAATTAACATATTTATTTTGAAACTAAAATGATTTTATCTTTTAAACTAAAGCGTTCGGTAACAATGACAATGTTTTACAGCGATCAGAATAGTGTGATTAAACAGCTGAATTTAAATATTGTAAGAAACTTAATTAATAGTTTTACTTAATGTGCATGTTTCATCTTTCTTAGGGCAGTTTTTGAATATTTATTTATTTATTTTATTTGCGCCTGACATTAGAATACAATTGATTAGATACAATGTATGGAAAAGATCAGTGGCATTCCGAAGAAATCGTTCACCTTGCGTTCACCGTCCGTTCACCGTTCACTTTGCGCTCGCGTTCGCGCTCCGTTCGCGTTCTGCGTTCACCTACCGTTCACCAAGTTACGTTCAGCGTTCACACATCGTTCACTCACCGTTCGCTCTGCGTTCGTTCAGCGTTCGCTCACCGTTCAAGTGGTAAAGTAGAACGTTTCAGGGACTGTAGTAAAGCAAGTAAACAAGACGGCCCATCTTTTACTCTGAGCTGATACACCACGCGTCTTTCTGGTAACTACCGGCCACGGACCAAATACATCAAACTAATTCGTGAACACTACAGTAATTGTTACCGAACACTAGTATAAAAGATAAAATTATTCTAGTTGTAATGTAAATATTTTTATTTTTATCTGATATATAAATTCATAACAAATAATAGGGATTTTAAAAGGGGAAACTACTGCCTTATAGAATGAATTAAAACGGTTATAACAAACATACATGTATTTCCGTGCCAAGGCTATTCTGTGTAAAATAACGAGAAAAAAAATTAAAATATTTTACAAAGGTCCGTGCACGTATTGCATAAATACACTCGCATTTTAAAATTTACATGCAATATTATATTTATGTGTCATATCTATTTTTTTATGATTTATAGAGCAGACTTCTACATGTATCAGTAGACATTTCGCAGTGATTATACTCGGACAAGATGATACAGAAAGGCATTCATATTATTTGCTGTAGAATAAATTTTCAGAACTTTATATGTATAAAAATAACATGCTGTCATGGTTTTATCAAACAGACAAATAAGAGAGAGAGAGAGAGAGAGAGAGAGAGAGATTCCGTTTTACCCCCACCCCTCCTTCTCCAAATGTTTGTACCTCTAGCAAACAAAAATTCTTAATTTTTTTCTAAATATGTCAGGCAGTATGAAAAGTAACCTTTTTTTATCAACAAATCCATTTGTTTAACAGTCATAATCAGTTTTTAGATCTAACAAATTTTTAGAGCAAACAAAAATTCTTAATTTTTTTTCTAAATATGTCAGGCAGTATGAAAAGTAACCTTTTTTATCAACAAATCCATTTGTTTAACAGTCATAATCAGTTTTTAGATCTATTCTCTGCTTCAAGTTCACACAAAGTCCACGTGCTTGTCCTTTCAATCAATATCATTCGACACTGTACAGGTGTGCAGGTTTGAAAGTCTCGTCACAACGAAGACGAAGTGCTTGTATTTCCACGAAGTATTAATTTTTAAATAAATAAATGAATAAAATACATTACCCATAGGAATAAACACTTGGAATGATTCAGCCGCGTGAATGTGAAACATACTCCCTACAATTTTAAAATACCATCGCCGGCACGTTTAAATTTTGAAACACAATTGTTTTTTAGATG